CCTCGTGTTCAGTTCTAGAAAGTCTCTAATTCAATAATCCTGTTTGTCTTTTTAATACAAGAATCCACTGACTGTATTTGCTGATACCAAACGCCTAAATGAATTGGTTGGTATCCGTTCTCAGAAGATTGGATAAGATATTTAGACTGTACCTTATCCAGGTTCTCCAGCTGCTCCACTGTGGTCGGCTTTGTCTGCATTGATGATAAAAAAACCAGAGGATCATCACCAGCGTCCTCAGCATGTCTACCTTTGAGCCTCTTTGTACAACTCATAGCCCTGATCAGTTAATAATATAGGCTGACTGAGAAAATGATCTGGTAGTGAGAAATTCAGCCCAGATACTGTAAAAACACACTCAAGTGCATAGAGCTAAAAGTGACATTTGATCGCACAATTCTGTAGCTGCAAAAACCAAGGTTCACCTGTTTCTCATTCTCGTATGCTGGCCCTCTGACATACATGAGGTATGTCCAAAAATAGAGCCTGAGTTTCATCAAGCTTGAGCGCACAGGCCAGTGTGCTGGTAGCTATTATAACCTGATTGTCTCACAAGAGAGGATCAAGACTAAATGTACTGATTTGTGAGGTACAAAAATTAGGTTAGCAACAATAAGAAGACTACTCTCTCAAATATCTGGCTTGCCAAGCACAGGCTCACCCTTATCACTTTATTTCAACCCTATTTGCAGGTACTTTTATTTGATTTACAGGTAATTTGATCATTTGTTTGACCATTAATTATTTTAGATTTAACCACTATGGTACAAGCTCACACTTAAACATTTATTTTCTTATTATATCTTCCCTTATTTACTTACCCTCCATCTGGAAATCAACGCCCCCATGTCTGTAGCTAACAGAGTCCTCCCTCTGATTTCTTGGGTTCACTATGAAACAAAAAGGCTCATTAACAAGCTTTCGGCACATACTTGTAATTCATGGAGCTAACCAAACAGACCATTTAACCCTGCCTATGTGTTGTTTACTCACTTACAACATCACAGGACTTATAAAGCTGCCTACAGAATCAAAAACAATGGTTACGGTTGTTGATGTGGATTAACTTATGCAATCTTCTCCTATAGCTTCTTACACACAAAGTACAGCTCATGTGAGGCTGCAAAGTGTGGAGTTTTTTATTTTTTTCTTGAAACAATTTCTGGTGCAGTTACAAGTTAAATAAGAAATCTTTGTTTCATATCAAGGTTTAACTCTATGTATGCTTACAGGACAACAGTTATATATGTTAAATAGTCACAAAGGATCTAAGTTCACAGGTGATATCAGTGCTAGTCCAGGCAGTAACCGGTGAGAAAAGTCCACTGTATTTCATGATAAGCATGTCCATAACCCCATTGGTAAACAGACAGCAGCATGCACTGTGGATAACATCCTTATAGTGTGATAGCTTGTTCATAAAACCTGCAGTCTAAAAGTTCATTGAAAACTTCCTGTGTAAATTATTCGAAGTATGTGCCCTTTATCAACAACATTTTCTTTGTATGCCGAAATTATATAAAGTAACGCTGGCACCCTCCCGAGTACAAAGGCTCCATTTATGGCTATCAGATGCTTCTCCGTTAATAAGATAGCTTCATTTTTTAATGGGGCAATCCTAATGGCAGCAAAGCAACACAACCAGCTAACGTAATGGAGCTCGGGATAACCGTTACCCAGCTCATTAAAACACTGATAACTTATCACTGCAGCACCGTTAGGTATCATTATGTAGAAAAGCGTAGAACTGTTGGTTTATATGTTTAGACTGAGTTAAATTAAATGGTAAAACACAACACCAAGCTAGCTAACGGCAGAGCCCGGCACAGTCATCACTAGCCAGCGCATTACATCGCAGTTTGCCGTCGGAACTGCTATTAGCATATTCTTGTCTAATAATACGTACATGGGGCGATGTTCCTGCTCTCTTTTCAGTCAAAAGGCGCTGAAATACGGCACACAGCACGCTTGACCGGTACGCTTGAAGCGACGCCGTTACGGCCAACCCCACGACAGTTTGGCGCGGCGTAAATAAAACGTTAACCTGTCTGATGACGTAATCCGAAGGCAAAGTGCTCGCTTTTTCCCGTGAGCCTTTGCGGTGTAGTTTTTTTTTTTCGTCTTCGTCAGAAGTCTTAGTTGAACGTCACCTGCCCTTATTTTTCGCCATTTTGGTGATATAATTTATAGGTTGTGAAAAATTATGGTCATGTATGGGTTCATTGCATGGTGTACACGGTAAATATTACAGCTCTGTTTATCACTGAAGATGATATAATATCAGGATGACGTCCTGAGAACAAGACAATCACATATTTACATATTGAGATGATTTTAAATAAAACAAGCACAGTCAAAAATTCAATCAGGTATGAAATCAGCGTTGTTTCTTCTTCAGAAACCGATGGATATATATATATACATATATGATGGATATATATATACACCTTTCAACCCTTCATTTATATATATATATATATATATATATAAATGAAGGGTTAAAAGGTGAAAACA